GTCCAAAACAGAAATAGGAAAAAAGTAACCTAAGTAAAATAAAATACAATAATAAAATGACACAAAAACCTAGTAAAATGACCCCGAATAAGTGCACAAAACACTTATCATACTTCTCCCCCTAGCTTTTATAATCCTTTTATAATTGGAACTAGAAATTTCTGTGTTTGATATTAAAATCTGAATAAAATGTTTATAATTCTAAAATTAAAATCTGAATAAAATGTTTATAATTCTAAAATCAAGTCCCCATTGCCATAGATTAAGTTCAATTTTTTATGGAATTTTTTTTCTAATTCTAGTTCCGAACTGTTATTTGCAAGCCTAGCTTTAGGTTTCTCGATACTTTTATTACCAAGTGTTGCAGGTCTGTTCAATAAAAGTTTCTTCTTTTGGCATTTTTGCTGCAGAAAATTAATCAATGGATTCTTGCTAAGCATGTTTGGCTAAGTTTATAAGTGATTATACATTCTTATGATTTTATTGCTTGTTTGTTCGCAATCTTTGTGTTCTTTAGTATAGATTGTTATTCTCTTATTTTGTTTGATATTCTCTTAATTTGTTTGATTTGTATAGATATGAACATGGATATAGATAGTGAAATTGAAGCTATGGGTGAAACTCCTTCAACATCTGTTCCTTCACTTCCACCATCATGTTTAGGGAAGAGAAAAAATAGAAAATCTTCCTTCACTTGAATTATTGCTGCATGTTTGCGAAGTGTTTATAAACGGTTAAAATTATAAATAGTTAGAACTCAAAAATGAGCCAGAGATAAATGTACTATTATTTTTAAACATGCGAGACGGTGTGTAAATGCAACTTATGACATAGATGCGTTTGACTTCTTTAGCCCTCTCACTACTTATTACTTTTTAAAAACCTTCTGTCTACAACCTTCCTCGATATTACTACCTTAACTGGAGTCTGAAAAACCTTCTTTCTTCTTTCAATCCTTTTGTTTACTTTGCTGATAAACCATTCTTTAGCTTCCCGTTCAACATGCTTATCCTGAACCTCCA